GCCGGCTTTAATTGCCAGCTGTGTGTGTGTGCATGTGGAGAAAGCAAATATTCTAACATTACCTTCAGCAAGATAAAACCAGGATGTAAATCATCTGGGCTGGTGGTTTAGAGCAGTGTGTCTCTAGCTTGGATGTGCATGGGGTAGGAATCATGCATAGATTTTGCTAGAACGCAGATTCTGATTTAGTAGGTTGTGGAGTAGGGGCTGAGATCCTGCGTTTCTTGGAAGGTCTCAGTTGGTGCAGACACTGCCAGTTGGAGACCACCCTTTGAGAAGGGTGAGTTTACAGCACATGCTGTAGAATTGAACAGACCCACTGATCCTTGTGGGCTTCCCTGGTAGCTCAGATGATAGAGTCTGCCTGCAATGCAGGAGACTCAGTTTTGATTTCTGGCTTGGGAATATCCCCTGGAGAAGGGAGTGTGTACCCACTCCAATATTGCCTAAAGAATTCTCTGGACAGACAAGGCTGGCAGGCTATAGTCCATGGAGTTGCAAAGGGTCAGACACAACTGAGTGACTAACACTTTCACTTCTTCTTTCACTATCGTTGGACCTTAAGGGCTTTCCTGGTGGTTCAGCGGTAAAGAATCCACTTGCAATGCAGGAGTCACAGGAGAGAGACGTGGCAGCCCCCTGCAGTATTCTTGCCTGAAGAATCCCATGGACAGAGGATCCTGGCAGGCTACAGTCCATAGGTTCACAAGGAGTCAGACACAACTGAAGCGACTGAGCGTGCACATACATTGGACCCTAAATGGTAGCTGAGCTTGGCAAGTGTGTAAGCTTTCTGTGCTTGTAAATTGGGTGGGATGAGAAGTACACTCTACCCATAAGACTGATATGAAAACGAAATGAACCAGGACCTGTGAAACACCTAGTCCAGTGCCTGGCACACAGTGAATGCTCAGTAAATATCAGTTATTAGTATCATCTGGAGACAAAGACCCTAAAGTTGTCCAGGCCGAACAGAAAACACTTGCTGGTTGGCTACTATTTGGGGCTATTTGTGTAGTGCATGTCTGGTTATTCATTTAATATTATCATTATCACCATATCAGGATTTTTAATATGTCTCTTATGGTATTATTCCCATGAGCTTATGGGTAACTTTATCTCAGGGAGTGTGTGTTAACTTAACCAGATCCACACAGCTAAGTAGCAGAAATAAACTTACACCCAGGTTTTAGGTCTAATGCTTGCCATGTCCCTTGCAGCTACCTTCTCTTGAGAATCTATTACACTCTTGGCCCAGTGGGTGGTGTGGAAGTTATAGCCTCTGAGTATGGCTCCAGGGAAGGAAAGACACAGGCTTAAAACTGTTTTTGCTCTCACAGCTGTCAAACAAATAAAAAAAACTGTATCCCCTTGTGTGTGTGTGTTCAGTAGCTCAGTCGTGTCCGACTCTTTGTGACTCCATGGACTATAGGCTGCCACGCCCCTCTGCCCTTGGAATTTTCCAGGTAGGAGTCCTGGAGTGGGTTGCCATTTCCTACTTTAGGGGATCTTCCCGACCCAGGGATCGAACCCGAGTCTCTTACATTTCCTTCATTGACAGGCGGATTCTTTTACCTCTGTACCCCCTGGGAAGCCCTATACACTTAAAAATTCACATAAGCATTTTTGTCTCATAACTTTAAGTAGAGTGTATTTCCAGGCTTATTGTATGTCATATTCTTCAAATATAAGTTCATGAAAGCCTGGAATGGCAGATTCAGTTCACACGGTTGTGGAAAATGTCTGCTGTAGCCCTTAATTCACAAGGCCAGATCCAAATCGTGCTTTGTGTTAGAAAATGTCTGACTCCATTGTTTGATTCAAATAAATGTGTTAAGCAGGCATCCCTGTGTCGGCTTCGTTGCTTCCTAATTCTAATCCTGGAATAACCGGATGGGTATGCATGGTAGAGTCGATCTTGGTAAGATAAGGCCAGCACCCTTCTCAGTGTCCATCCTCAGGAGACTCCTTCCAGGATTGCCGCATTCTTGAGTTGTCCCTTTGTTTGATGGCTTCTGTCAGGTCAAAGTGCCAGGGCACAGCTGGCATGGCTATGGGGATGGGCCTTTCTTTGGGGAAGTCTTGAGGAGGGCCACCTCGAGAGAACTTGTGGGCTTAGATGGTTCCCAGCACATCGATACGGACGGACACCATGGGGACGTGGAGGTTTTGGAAATTGATTCCCTGAAGGCCTTACCACATCAGGAAGTTAAACTTCCCAAATGTACCTTGGTGGGCAGACCATTGACCAGATGCCTCTCCTGGAGAGGCTGCCCTGGGTCGTGGCTCTGTGAACATGACATTGCTCACTTCAAAGCCTGTGGCTCTTTGGGAATCTTTGGTGGAGCGGGGACTGAGCCTGAACCTCCCAGGGTCTCCCTGGTGACAACCCTGGCCCTTGGCCCGTGTTTCTTCCAGTTCCTGGCAGTTAGCTAGCAGGGGCACTGACGCTACAGTGATGAGTGGCAGAGAGGTACACTGAAGCCTGGGCCTGCTGAGTGATTTCATGGCCCCAGAGCAGTCCACATACCCCACCAGAAAAGCTGGCTGCCATCCCAGGGGAGCCATCACAAGGCAAACCAGCCTTGGGTGCGTCAGGAGAGCTGGTCCTCTGAGCTCGTCCCCCGCCTTAGGGCAACTCACTTGCCTTCTCTCCTCGGCATCCTTGTCTGTGAAATGGGCTGACGCGGCAGGCATTTAGCCTTCAGAGACCTTGAAGTTGGGCAGACCTCTGCTTGAATCCTGGTTTTGTCACTTACTAGCTGTGTGACCAAGTTACATACCTCTCTGCACCTGTCTCCACATGGCTGAATGGGCAGCGACAGTGTCTCTCTCGCGGGCTGGTTGAGGGGACACAGGAGACGATGGCTAGTGAGCACGCTCAGGAGATAGTCTTGCCGTGGTTACACTTGTTCCTCGGAGGAATTAAGCAAAAGACGGGGTGGCGTGAAGGCCTGGTTGAGACTCTCCGAGGCAGGGCGCCCCTCCCTGGGATGGAACCGCGTGCACGGAGGCGCTTCGCGGTGTCACCTGATAAAGGGCAGAGCGGGCCCTGCCACCTGCTGACCTCCCTGCTCTCCTCCTGCCTTCTTGCTCCCCCAGGGAGAAGGCCGCCCCTGATGGCTCCCCGCTTTCCCTGAAGCCTGAGGGCCCTGGGGTCCACCCTGTGGGCACCCGTTGGAAACCTGCTGCCCGGCTGCCTCCCCTGGGCCCTCTCTGGGGGACGGGCCGCAGGCTCTCAAGCCTTCTGTTTGAAAGCTGCCCTGGTTGGATTTCCCAAGGGCTCTCCCGGCGAATGTTTTAGAAGCAGAGTCGACTCCACCCCTCTGTGCCTTCCCCGCAGGAATTTTGTCATCTTGTCTAAACCGACTTTCAGCTGGAAGTTAGCCTCTTCTCCTCCGCCCCAGAGGAGTAAATACAGAAACAAAGCAAAGCTCCTGGGCACCTTGGGATCTGGCCCTTTCAAGGAGTCTCTTTGTCAAGCAAAGAATCCTTTTGTAAAGTGAATAATGACTCACTTTGGACTTCGGTTGGGATTTTTTTTGTTGAGGGTCTTTCTCAAGAGTGGGGGCCAGGCTAATTTGTAGGCTGGGGGGTGGGGTGGGGGCAGGCCACCGCGTCCCTCGCAGCAGCTGAAAGGGCTCTGGGTTTGGCTGCTGATCTTCCGATTACCCTTCTTTCTTCCAGTGTCTTCCTGTCAGGGCTCTGGCCCACCGACATCGATCACGCGGGCCCGGAAGGTGGTGACGGTTTGTGTTTCTTGCTGTTTTGTTCCTTTGCTTCACTGATCGCGTCTCCATGGAAACAGGCGCAGCCTTTGTGTTCCCCTTGCTTTGGGCCAATCGATGCCAACTGGGGATTTTTCTTTGCTCTCCACCTTCTTTGGGATCAAAGGGAAAGGTGGGGGCGAGGCAAGAGGACTTCCAGCAGCCTGGAGCTCCTGGAATGGGGGCTCCTCCCCCAGGAACGATGGGGTCAGACCCCTGCCTGGTCTGACCTGTGTGATGGTGCCGTGAGAGTCACGAGGTCCCAGGTGGAGCATGTGCGCTGTGGTTTATGGACACTCAGCACCCCCATCTCGGCACCCACCCCCCCAACTCACAGAGGTGGCTGCTGGCCGCTGGAACAGGAGGCTGGTGGGAGAGCTGCTCCTGCTGGCAGGAACTTGGGGTGAGGCCTTCAACCTTTCCAGGCCGTGGTTTCTCTCGAGAGGGTGGAGAGGTTTTGAGCCCCTTTGGTCCTGGGACCTCTTAAGGAAGCCCCACATCTGGGTAAACTGCAAAATCACTGTCATATGATTGTTCGATGGTGAATAGTAAATTCTGTGTTTGAGTCGAACCAGTAAGTTGTGTAGTTTGACATGAAACTTCAGAATCAGGAACCTCTCTCTAGACTAGACTGAACATCCTGTGTGTGATCCAGGCGCCCCAGCCCCGCCCAGGGTGTCCTGCATTCCCAGACTGATCATGACCTACTAGGGGAGACTTCTGTTCCAGGCCAAGGCAAAAGCGTTGGCCTGAGCAACCCGGGAACAACAGATCAGCTCTGTGTCCTCGGAGACCTCCCGGTGGGCGTGCCCACACAGGACGGGGCTTCCTGAGCCGGTTGCCTACCACACTCCCATGGTCGTCTCGGTCACTGCTGGCTTGATGAACTGTGTTATCCAACAGGCGAAACAGGAGGCTTCTATCAATCAGTACCACGCTCACGCCAACTTTATACTCACTGACTAAAACCACCAGCTCCACACTGCATTTCAGTATCAGAACTCTCTACTCAATCTGTTTGTCAAATTTGGCAAAGGGTTTTTTGAAAAAAGTATTTATTTATTTGACTGTGCCGAGTCTTAGTTGCGGCATGCGACCTCTTTGTTGTGGCACGTGGGGTCTAGTTCTCTGACCGGGGATCGAACCCTGGCCCCCCTGCATTGGGAGCTCGGAGTCTTAGCCACTGGGCCACCAGGGAAGTCCCACAAAGGATGAGTTTATCCTCAGATTTACGTTGGCCAAGAGCCTCCCTTGAGACTGAAGCTAGAGCCAAGTTGTCTGAGGAGACCTCCGAGTACGCCAGTGGCCTCGTGGTGACGGAGGCCAGCCGGTTCGGCCTCCTGCCGGCAGAAAGGCGCTTGCTGGAGCGAAGCACCATTCAGGAGCCTCTCCCGGGAAGTGTTCTTTCCAATCCCTCTTTACAGTCACGGTTCGTTTTCAGTCACTCTGGTTGATTCTAATACATTTTCTTTCCTGCCTGCCTTTTTTTTTTGGGGGGGGGGGGCGGGCTGTGCCTGAAGCATGTGGGTGGATCTTAGTTTCTTGACCAGGGATTGAACCTGAGCCCCCAGCATTTGAAGCGCAGAGTCTTAACTACTGGACCGCCAGGGAAGTCCGTTCCTGCCCACTTTGACGCCACCCAGAGTTCTTGCCTTTCTCCACAGCTTCCCCTGCGTGAAGCCCCCCGGGCCGCTGAGCCATGTTCTGGACTACCCTGTCTCTGGGCCCAGAGGGGCCGCGGGGGCAGGTACACGGAGGCCCTGGGTGGCACTGACCCTGTTGCCGATGCTAAACCTCCTAGAGTTCCCAGCTGGGACCGCTGACTCCCAGGCTCTCCCAGAGGCTGCACAAGGGTCCCTGGTACCTCACTGAGAGACCTTCAGCATAAACTGCCCCTGCTTCCATGGACGGCAGCCTCGAACTGTGCTTTGTCCAAAGGGTGACGTGTGGGGTTGCTGTGAACCCCTACGCCCAGGAGCAAGGACTGCAGAGGGAGCTCTTTTTTCCCCCAGATTTTACTCTGTCTTTGCTTTGAAGCATCGGTATCGTGGCAGAGGGTTGAGAGGAGGAGCCGTGCTTACTGGGTTCTGACCCAACTCTGCCACTGTGGGCACCCTTCCTCCCTGGGCCTTAGGTTTCCCCATGGCACATAGGCAGTGCTTAAGAAAATATTTGCTCTAATTTCCCGAGCATTTTGAAAAAATTTCCATTGTTTGACTTTAAATTTCCTCCCCTCCCTTTCTCCCGATCTGCATAAATATACAGGCAGACCTCAGAGATGTTGTAGGTTCACTTCCAGACCGCCATGGTAAAGCGAATATTGCGGCAAAGTGACTCACACACGTGGTTTGGTTTCCCAGTGCATATAAAAATTATGTTTACATTATATTGTGGTCTATTAAGTGCATGATAGCATTATGTCTTTAAAAAAAAAACAATGTACATGCCTTAATTAAAAAGTATTTTAGTGCAGAAAAAAAATGCTGACCGTCATCTGAGCATTCAGCCAGAGTAGTAACATAAAAGATCACTGATCACTGTCATGAATATAATAATAATGGAAAAACTTGAAATATGGTGAGAATTACCAAAATGTGACAGAACACAAAATGAACAAATACCGTTGGAGAAATGGTGCCAATAGACTTGCTCATTGTAGGGTTGACACAACCTTCAATTTGTAAAAAAGAAACAAACCTCAGTATCTGTGAAGTGAAATAAAGTGAAGGGCAGTGAAATGAGGTTTGCCTGTACGTATTGCTGCCTGTGTTAATGCTGGGCACTGAACTAGGTATTGGGGGCAGAGAGCTGAGTAAAACCAAGAGAAGCCTGCTCTGTTAGGGCCACCAGTGGGCACAGTGAAAGTGAAAGCTTAGTCACTCTTAGTCACTGACAAAGAGTCGTGTCAGACTCTTTGTGACCCTATGGACTGCACCCCCCCAAGTTCCTCTGTCCGTGGAATTCTCCAGGCAAGAGTACTGGAGTGGCCTGCCATTCCTTTCTCCAGGGGATCTTCCCACCCCAGGGATCAAACCTGGGTCTCCTTTATTGCCAGCAGATTCTTCACCATCTGAGCCACCAAGGCTCTAGTGGGCACATTGGTAACTGTGATATCATGTAACTAGTGCTGCCATCTTAATGGTGCAGGGAGAACCTAACGGGCCCAGGCCACGTGGGAGTGAGCCACAGTGCATCTGGGAAGGCTTCCTGGAGAAGGAGGCCTGTGTTCTGAATCCTAAAATTGCAGTTGAGCAGGATGACTCTGTTAGAGCCAAGGCATTAAGTGCGCAGGACTAGGGAAGTGTGCTGGGACAGTGTGGTGGCCGGACGAAGGAGCGGCCCAGCACTCGGGCCCGCGTGGCTGAAACAGCAGGTGCCGAAGGACCAGTCAGCCTGCGGAAGGAGGGGGTTATCTCCTCTCCAGAACCAGCCCTCGAGACTGGGGGGCAGAAAGGAAGACTTCACTTTTGACAGTCCTTCTTGGCTCCCTTGGGGTTTGCTCTCGGGCCAAGGTCCCTCCTCTCCTCCTTTTTTAGAGAATGATTTATCCCCACCTCTGGGCTTGTGTCTCCTAACTGTGAGTGGTTCAGAATACCTCAAGCCTCTCTGACTTGCTGGGGGTTTGGTGGACAAGGACTGTGTGCCGCTAGTTAGTAGAGGGCCCGGGACCTCTGCCTTTCAGAAGCTCCCCGACATTCTGCTGCCCTCCCCCACCTGAGAATCCAGTCGCCAGTGATGCCCGAGTACATCCAGGGTTCTGCCCCCAGGCGTCCATGATGGATCGCCCCTGCCCAATCTCCATGCACGTCTTCTTACTTTTACAGAGTGGTATTGTTATTGTTTGTTTTTAATCTCTCCTTTTATTTTTCCAACAGGGATCTCTATTATCTTGTTTTTTGGCTTTGCTACTTAAAAAAAAATTTTCTTAGTAGTAGTGGTGTTAGTTGCTCAGTCATGTCCGACTCTTTGTGACCCCATGGACTGCAGCTTTCCAGGCTCCTCTGTCCATAGGGATTCTCCAGGCAAGCAGGCTGGGGCGGGTTGCCATTCCCTTCTCCAGAGGATCTTCCCGACCCAGGGATTGAACCTGGGTCCCCTGCCTTGCAGGCAGATTCTTTACCGTTTGAGCTACAGGGAAGACGCAAAAGGAAAAAAAAAATTCTTAAGGTTATTTAATTAAATTAGTTAATTAAAATATTTACTTAGTTACTTGGCTGTGCTTGTTCTTAGTTGTGGCAGCATGTAAGATCTAGTTCCCTGACCAGGGGTCACACCTGGCCCTTCTGCATTGGGAGCATGGAGTCTTAGCTTTACCACTGTTTAAAAAGGTGTTATTAGATAGTGAAACTGGGGCACAAGGAAGGAAACGTTGTCCAAGGTTATGGAGAAGCCAGAACCTGCCCTACAGTCCACGGTGTCTTCAGCCTGCAGTGTGTCCCCCTGGGCAGAGGGCCTAAGGGCCCAGAGCCCCAGGTGTTTGGAGAAACAGGCTGGGCGCCTGCTCCTCAGGCACGTAGTGCCTCAGACACCGCAGAGTCTTCTTGCCTCCCTCCAGCGGGGTTCAGGCTGGCACAGTCACGACCATTGTTCCCAGTTGCTCTGCCCGCCTGCCTGGACATCTGTTCTCCTAACAATATCTGCCATAAATCCTCGCCCCGACTCCAGGGCGGCTTAGCTGGGGGACAGCGGAGCCTGTGACGGGCAGCCAAGCCTTCCCCACGGCTGCACAAGGGCGCAATCCACACCTGCGTGTTTCCCGGCAGCACTGACGCCTGCCTCTCAGGCCGAGGTGGTCTGCGCCGCGGTCTCCGGGGCTGCAGTTGGAAGCGCTCCTCACAGAGCCCTTTCTGTTATGACTCACACTGTTGTCATTCTTAGCCTTTGTGACGAAAAGCGATTTTCTTTTTTAAATTGTGTGTACCCTGGCGTACAGTAGGTCCTCACTCAGTGTGTTTTGCCTGACAGTGAATGAATGAGGGAATAATTAGCTGCCTGTGCGTGAAGGTCACTGAGGTGCCTGTGAATGAAGCAGACCCAGTTCTTCTGGCACATGCAGAACGCCCCCTGGGTGGCACCGGACCCTGGGAAGTCCCTCCCCAAGTCTGCCCTGAGGAGCTGGGCTGATGGAGGGAGACAGCAAATGATGAAGCGCCACCTTGCCCGTCATTACAGCCACTTAGGGCTCTCTCCTCTTCCAGACGGCTTTGAGTGCTCGGGCTGACCTGGAAGAGCCCAGAGGGATCAATCAACATTGGCTGAAGTTTCCAGAGACGACCTCCTGGCAAAGAGGACCCTGAGCCAGGTCTTGAAAGCTGGACAGGCCTTGTTTGTGAGGACAGAGGAGAGGCGCAGACGGCTGCTCTGCGGTCCCTGAGGCTGTCGCGTGGGGGGTAGAACCCAGTGTGTGCTGACAAGCCCTGGAAGTGACCTCGATGCTCACCGACTGTGGTGACAGCTGATGCAGGAACAAAGAAAGAGAGAGAGACTGAGGAGCTGGGAAGTGACCTGGCATGTTTTAGATGAGTTCTTCTGTTAGTGGCGCAGAGAGAAGACAGGAAGGAGATGGGCAGAGAAGGCAGGAGGCATCAAGGGAGGCAGGCGTGGGATGCTCAGGGTCCTAGCTGGGTTGTGGTGGCTCTGGGAGCAGAGAGCAGAGCCAGGTGGTCCCGTGAAGGGAAAGTGGGCAAGCCCGGTGACACATTTGATCTCATGCCACACTTTCAGAGCACTCTTTTCTTTAAATATTTCAAAGTGATCTGTCTCCTATCACCCTTGTTATATGCTAATTATGGAAATGTAAGAAAGAAACAGAGACATTACTTTGCCAACAAAGGTCCATCTAGTCAAAGCTATGGTTTTTCCAGTGGTCATGTATGGATGTGAGAGTTGGACCATATAGAAGGTTGAGTGCCGAAGAATTGATCCTTTTGAACTGTGGTGCTGGAGAAGACTCTTGAGAGTCCCTTGGAATGCAAGGATATCCAACCAGTCCATCCCAAAGGAGATCAGTCCTGAATATCCATTTAAAGGACTGATGCTGAAGCTGAAACTGCAATACTTTGGCCACCTGATGTGAAGAGCTGACTCATTGGAAAAGACCCTGATGCTGGGAAAGATTGAGGGCAGGAGGAGAAGGGGATGACATGGTTGGATGTCATCACTGACTCAATGGACATGAGTTTGAGTAAACTCTGGGAGTTGGTGATAGACAGGGAGGTCTGGCATGCTGCAGTCCACAGGGTCACAGAGTCAGACACGACTGAGCGACTGAACTGAATTGAACTGAAGAAAGAAACGGGGGGCACAGAATTTCACTACCAACCAGGATGACTATTGATATGTGAGCATATTTCCCTCTGCTCCTTTTTCCTACACATC